TACCCTTATCGTCATACTATTTAATAAATATTAATATTCTGTATTTTATTTGTAAAATTTTGTAAATATTTATTTAGATTTTGTCAAATATTCTGGAAATAATCAGATATCGGGTTAATAATAGTTAAAGGCTTTTGTTTATTTCGGACAAAATAATATTTGTGAGGTAAAAAATTCAACAAAATCTATTCATCAAATATTGATTTCGGATAATTTCTGATAATTAGATATCGATATTTTCACTTCATGTATTTCTTGGCCTGGTGTCGGGCTCTCCTAATTGTTCTGATTACAGGGCGGTGGCCTCCCAGTTATGTCTGTTGGTTGGCATAGCCCCAATGAACTATAGATGCATCTACCATAAACCCGAGTTATCCCCAGTTTTGTTGGAGCTATTTGCACCAGTTTCAGCGAACTATGGGGCACCACCTTGTACCCCATATATGGGGAAGATATCATCTATACCATTTTTCCATCCTGGAAACACGTGTCTATCTTTTTTGGGAATTACTATAATGTGGTAAGCCCAAAACCCAAAACCCCCTTAAAATCACCAGTCCCTATGGATGGTACAAATCATCCCTTTTCATGGTAGGTACAAATGGCATTGGGTTTCCCACATTGACAAAATATCTGAAAAAAAAACACATTGACTTTCGATACATCTACCATAAACCCGAGTTATTGGAGTTATTTGGACTTAACGAAGGAGCTGGTTAAACACCACCTTGTAGCCAAAGAAAAATAACTCAGCTGGCTGAGCTGCCCGACTTGCTGGCTGACTTCAATGATTTCACCTTGAATGGCACGAGAAAATTGATCCGCTTAAAATGTGTCGTATAAAAATCCACTGAGATCATCATCTGAAAAAGCATTTAAATATGGGAATAATGTCAAATGGGATATTTCATGGGTATATAACCAACAATTGAATCCAGATCTTGTGGTCCTTTCGACTTCTAAATCCCTATGTTGGTGATGTAGATTGCGCCGATATTCTGGAACCCGGTGGATTGCTTGCAATGGGATCAATCAAAATACAGCATTCTTACGGTAAAGAAATATATGAACCCACTACGTATATATATATATTATGTAATTATGTAATCACGTGTATATATATATGTATGCATATATATATAATAGTAATAATAATAGATAATAGTAATAAGAATAATAACAATAATAACAATAATAGTAATGGTGATAATAACTAACCATAATAATGACAGTAATAAGAGTACTAATAATGGCAATGAAACCCACTCTGCACCTTCGCACTCCGCGGTGGCCTTGACATGGCGCGTAAAAAAGAACGCCGGCGACCGGCGTTGTGGGATGGCCGGAGAAGCATCATCCGTTTTAATGATATCAATCACACAACAAATGATATCATGAAATGATGTTTTTATATGGTTTTTATGACCAAAAATGATGAAATGATATGAAATGACGATAAATCAACCAACAAATTCTGTGAATATGATGGAACGAAGGAAAAAGTTGATGTTTTTGGTGGCCCTCCGTGGCTGCAAAAAAGATCGCTGGTCGTGCTGCCAACCCATCCCAAACATGACAATTGGGCAATTGGAAGAATGATCTGAACCAGCACGGTGAAAACCTAGATATGACCCCCAACCAATGTGTAAATGGACATATCATGACATATCCACATATACTTAATATCATTTTTTATATATAGTATATATATATATAATTTTATATATATATATACTATGCTCAGCACATTTTCCCACCTTTGGCATCCTAAAACGCACCTCCAACCCCAACCCCAGGATTTGTCACGTCTCAGGGCCCCACGAGTTCCACGTCCAAAAGGTCTGCTTGAGACAGGTTGTCTTCACACCTGGTAACTGGGTTAGAATGCCGAAATTTTGGCCATAAAATTGGATTTAAATTGTGATTTAAATGGGATTCGCCCGTCGCTTAGTCAGGTGGTTCTGTTCAGTTCTAGGAGTCAATTCTTGGATTCAAGATCCTGGTTGGTGGTATACCTAGCCCTCTGAAAAATATGAAGCCAGTTGGGATGATTATTTCCAATATATGGAAAAATAAAATTCATGTTCCAAACTACCAACCAGGGATTTAAATGGTGATTTTTCATGGGATTTAAAGGTTACTAAAAAAGGGATGTGCAAAATGTTCAACAACAAAATGAGCCATCTGCATCATATCCAATACCACAAACGTCTTACAAACCCAGTTTTTGCAGGTTCCACGTGGAAGTGTTTGAAAGTTGTTCAAGGGAATCGCGATAGGATTCTCGACCAGCAGGGATGGGCCAAACTATTCACTGATCAACTTACTGGCATTTCACCCTCCTTACATGGCCAGCTGAGCTAAAATCTATTAAAACAGTAAGCCCAAGATAGCCCAAGATTCCAACTACCGTTGGTAAGTTTCCAGCTGCCATGATCACTGGAGGAGTAGCAGATTCCAGCCATTCCTACTTGAAAGAACAAGCGTGCCCCCCTTCCGCCCCTGAAGCTTCAGTGAAGAGGAAAATTCACCATCCTCAATCTGGAGAACACTACATGGATCTGCTTGGTCACTGATCAAGGGCTCTATGCCTCGACATCTGCCACGCCATCTGAGAAACCCCGTTTCTCAATGTTGAATTTTGGCAAGACAGCACAGGAATGTGCGCCTCCCCCGGAAAATCATGATGTTCTCACGCATGTTTCTCCTCGAGCCAATTGAGACAGATCTGAGACCCATCGAAGCCACACCGGTTGCCTCACTTGGGGTGTGCCAAATCTCGTCCTTAAACCATGCTCTGTGAATTGCCATTACATTATAAAACATGAAAATCATGGATAATTAACGTACAAAAACCCTAAAAAAACATTCAAAAACCTGCTGGAAATTGTGGATCTTCCCACCAGGTTAGATTCTACGCCCCCCAAAGAACTCCTGCGGAACTGGGTGTGAAGGGAAGCAATGGGCCGATCCGGAGGCACCGGCAGATCCTGGCCCAGTGCATCTGATAGTAACCTCTGGCAAGCAATGGAAAACTCCTTTTCCTATTTTTTGAGCTTCGGACTCTGAGTTAGACTCTTAGACTCACATCCCCAACAGATCCATTGATCTTCCATGGTTTCCTGGGAAATCCTCCGATGGATTCACAACCCGAGTCCCACTGAGCTCCAGGCAAATTTCGCCATCTGGAAGTTCATGGCGGCACGTCCCCGCCGCCGCACCTGGCGGACGGAAGTGCAAAAGTTTTCACTTTATGGCAAAGTTCATGGGGGAAGATCAATGAAAATGACAATTAACCCATGGATATGGGATTTGAGGTACTGTACATTACGTACTGTACCATATTTTTGGACCAAAACATTTTGGGGTGTCTGTCAAATGTTCGAGACCCCGGCAACCACAAATGGCCTGGTCAGTTTCAGTTATTTGCCATTCAATTTTGATGATACCCAGCTCTGACGCGACGACCTGCATACTGGCAACAGACATGATCCTCGTCTTCGGATTACAACGATGATCGTTCTGATAGTTCCTGGTAGTCCCATCTCCCTCTATACATATACCATATATGTATATATGCATACATATAATATATATATACATATATATATATACATAATATATATATATATACATATAATATATATATAATATGTATATATATATATATATTATATAACATTATATAATTATATAGTTATATAGTTATAATATAGATATATATATATATACATAATATCAAATTCCCACCGGATAAAAAAAAAAAAAACACACGCGGTTTGTGCTTGAATTGATTCTTTTGAGGTCCTTTATTGGGGATCTGTCATAGCCCAACCGAGGTTCCCGACATTCACGGCAGTTTCTGTTTCCTCTTTATTCTTGACCTGCAAGAGGTCCAAAAAGTGTTTGAAACATATGGTTAACATGTATTACCTGCAAACCACCAATTTTGAATTATATAAGTAATTACCAGTGTTTGAAACTATTACCAGCTTTCAAGACTGGGGTTATACCCTGCAAAATTCGCAATTTTCCAGGGAAACTGATGATAAACCTTGGGATTGGTACCATCTTTTCAGAGAAATCTATGGTTCAACATGTTTCAATACGGGGTTTCAACGGTTTCGATCCCTTCATCTCCCCATGTGCCGTAACGGCTCCGTTGGTGCATATCCCGCACCCCCATTAGGCCCCTGGACCTGAGATTCTGCCAGAAAGGACATGAAAGGACATGGAATGTATGTATATACTACCGTAACATTTCCTCATCCTTTTTGGGTGTTAATAATGTTGATTTATCATGATTTATCCCCATACTGTATTGTCCCAAATCATACCCAGTGAATTCCCACCATTCTCTCCCAAAATAGTTGTTTTAACGAGGAAACCCCGGGAAAAGGGGCGTCCTACTCTTGCGACAAACCCGCATCATTGAGGACAGGACCCCCACTATTACTCCTACTGACGAAGTCCATTGATTCCCATTCCAGGTCATTGGATGCTACTGGAAGCCACATTCAGTGGCCGATGTTTATGATTGTATTATGGATCAATCGATCATATATCTTATAGTAAGCCCAAAGAGGGTAGAAAAGTAAATTCTACTACTACACGAGTGATAGAATATGATAGAATATTGTCTCATATTGTCTCTATCTTTTTGGGGGCTGCTATACTTATATTCATCGATCCCATCATTAAATCCATCATATGTCCATTAAATCCCGATGATACCACCATTTTTGTGGGTGAAGCCTCATTAATAAGAGTGGAAGTCCCCATATTATTCCCATAATATCCCATTTTTTGCTAGATAAATCTCATTTTGGTGGATAAAGTCCAATTCTCTATCCATTAAATCCATTAAGTCACCACGAGATCACCCATGTTCTTGCTTATATCCCCGTTTTTCTTGGCGAAATCCACCTGCGTTCACCACGTCTTCCCCTGCGTTCACAAGACGCCTTCAAGGCATCAGCCTGACGTTGCGCGCGTCTCAGCATCATGACCGATTGCCCCTTGCGCGGCACGCTAGTAGACCTGGCGGCAGGAAAAAATCTGGACATTCTTCTGATTTTCTCGTATTTGTTAAGATTGATAGTTGATTAATATTGGATGAACATGGCTTACTATTGGATAAATGTCAGATTAATATAGATTCATGATTCATGAAAGGGAAAAAATCGTGAAAAATCTTATCGCATGATCATCGATCTTGTATGTTTCTTAGTGGGAGAGTCATCCATGCTCTTGGAAATGAATGCCTTAAGCTCAAAGATCAACATCTTGCCACCTGTGAAGATCACCCACTAGGTCTCCCTGCGTCGAGGCTTCATGTTTCTCCTGTTTCTCCTTGGATCTTTCCAGTAGCCTGCACGATCCAACGATCCAACTCTCCAGTGTCAAACAGCCAGGAAAGGATCCTACAATACACATGGGGTAGCATGGGGTTAGAAATTTCTGGAAACAGTCATATTCTTGGACGATACACGCCCACATAGCCGCAGAACTGAGCAGACCATCGCGCCTTGCTCTGGACTTCTTGGACTTCCATTTGAAAGAACCAACTTTCAACACCTCTACGCATCCTCCAGTCACTGCAACTAAACCAAAAGCATAGCCCGCATAGCCGCTCCGGCACTTTGAAACTCTGAAGGTTCATCATTCGGACCTCGACTTGTACCAAGAAATCACCTTTCACTCCACCAGCTGAATCCACCCGAAATCTTCAAAAAACGTGTACCTCTGACCCCGTGCCCAGTGGGAGCGGCGCCTAGTTCGGGTATCCGAGCGTACTTTGAGGCTTGCGGTGGTCACCAAGGTTGGTTTCCTTAGGTCAACATGTCCCGCGAGCTACGGCGCTTTCTTCTCATGGCCCATCGATAATTTTAAGCTGGGCCAAAATAGTCCACGACAGTACGAAACTAACCTTAACTCTCTAGGGTGCGTACCATCTGTTGGCTTACCCTCTGATAATTTCACCGAGGAAGGTCATCTGTCATCAAATCATCTGTTTTCATGAGCCACCTTTGCCATGGCTACCATCGGCTACCATGGTTACCCTCTGGTAAACTAACATAACTATGGAAAATCACCATTTTTAATGGGAAAACTCACTATAAATGGCCATTGTCAATAGCTATGTTAGTCATTACCAGAGGGTAGTTGACATTTCAGGGTACCAAAATCAGCTGAAACCAAGGCTCCGTGAGGCGGGTCGTGCGAGTCCTGCTTCGCTTTGCGCTTCCGCGAGGTCGAGGGTCACTTTCTTGCCTCGCGAAAAGAACATGGCCCATGACCCGCAGAGCACCTGGATGGCACGGGTAGTTCTTCAATCATGGCACTGGGAAATCTCCCATTTAAATTTTAGATGTTCATTTGTTGTTGGGATTTCCAGGCTAGAGATGTTTGATGGCCAAAGCGTGCCCCACGTTTTGACCATCCCCAAATGAAATGCTGCCTAGCTGCTGCCTATGTCTTGACTCACACTGGGCGATGGTACATTGCCTGTCACAGCATTGAGCCGAACCAATATCACCCCGTTCTTTGGATACCCTCTGGTGAATTGTTACACCTTGCTATGGAAAAGCACCATATGCACCATTCTGTACCATAGCTATTTTGAATTAGCACCAGAGGCTAGCTGCTGGTGAGGCAGCTGAAAAATGGCCCACTGATGGTGGCAATCTACAGGTGGTTCATCACAGCGTTGTTTTGCTCTGTTGAGATTGATCAATTCTGCACTGAGTAGTGCTGTTCCGGTGCTCTGTTTGGATCCTTCTGCAAGTTCTATAAGCAAAGCTTGTGCATGTTCATGCCTACCTCTATTTCATTGCGTTTATTTCATCACTCTGGTTCCAACAAATCTACCTGGATGTCCAGGGGAAGCCTAAAATGCTGGTGCCCCCAAGTCATCCAAAAATTTCATCATGGCTTAGTATGGAAACGACCGGACCTGGGGATCCCCATGAAGAAACCCCAAAATTCTGCCAAGCGCGGCAAAAACGAATGAGCGGACGCCGTGAAAATTCCATGTTTTGACGCGCTGTCTTGCTCGACCTCTCGCCTCTGCCAGTATGTGCAGGCTTGAAAACCTTATTATATATATATATATGTATGTATATATATATATATATGTATATATATATATATCATATCATAATACACAAATAAGAATGTGCTAAGAATTTGAGGGACCCTGGGCCTCAAGCTTTCGGACTCTTAACCAACTCTCGGACTGTAAATCATCTCCAATATGATATGGGTGGTAAAGACAATCTCCAAATACTAGGCTGATTATTGTGCTTACCAGATTCTGCATTTTATGCTTGAATGTTCTCTTCATCTCAACCTTTAACGAATTCAAGCATCTCTCATACCCTCAAAAACAGTCAGAAACCCTGATAGATTCTGCACAAATGTCCACCACACAATGCGAGCACCCAAGTGTTCAACTTGTCAGGCTGGCCGCTAAAGAGCTTGAAGTCTTCCCCAGGACCTTGAGAGAAAATCCACAACCTGATGGACCTGGTTTTCATGGGGTGATCCCACCTGGGATCCCAAGTGTAGCTGGAGATTTGGAGACGGTCCACAGGTGTCCGAAAAACTTTCCAATGTAAACATCCCCGTGTGAAGTCTTCGATTCAAGGGTGCTTTCACCCAAAACTCGAGAAACGAACCCCGTTTCTAACTGCCTCTTCTCAATTCATCAACTTGAAGAAACACCATAAATCATCATACCTCACCAACTTTGAAATACTGGGGTCCCCCATTTGGGATTTCCATGGATTTCCCGTAATCCTCACCAAATAAACCCGACCCGTCACAGCCGCCTATTTGACCCGACAGCGAACTCCGCCTGCGACTCAAGAGGCTCTGGCCATTTTTGGGGAACGCTTGGAAAATGAGTCCTTATGCTTACCATCTATCAGTTATATAAGTTATATATGCATGTCTATATATATAATGTAATAGTATGATATAATATGTTATATACATATTATACACTATGTAATTACATATATATATATATGCGTATGAACATATCTGAACATGCGATATGTGACCACCTACGCAGGTCAAAGTTCGTCACCGGCGTCTTGTTGCGGTCAGTCAACCTCAAGCAGTTGACGCATTGGTCGAATTGGAAGACCCCTTGGGGACTACAGAGGTTAATAATTAACCATGGTTAGTTGTTAATATGGTTAATACATAGTATATTCATGACATGTTGGTATTGTATACCATGGTTAGTACTAGTATATCATGTATATATACATATACATATATATATATACTAATTAATATTAACCATAGGTACCAACAAATTCTAGTATTAACCATCCAATTGTTGGTACCCAATTTTCACCCAAGGCCAGATGGTCAATGGGAATCATGGGGGAAGCAAGAGGATTTAGTGGTGAAGTCTGGTGAAGCAGTAAACTAACAGTTTGCGAACTGGAAAATACATGATCATTATAGTTGGATAATATTTTCCATATAGTCATGTATATGTTCAATGGATTATCCAATGCATATATGGAAAATCACCACTTTTCATAGATAAATCAACTATTTCGACTGGGCCACTTTCAATAGCTATATTAAATATTATCAAATTACCAGAGGGTACCCCATGTTCAGACAATGGTGTGATTGATTGACAGGGTCGAGTCCAGGCTCTGGATAAAGCCCTTTCCTCAAGTTTTCCATAGTAAAAATAAGCGACACGGGAAGGGTATACCCTCAGATCCTCAGAAACAAGAGTCCTCAAATATCCATAGATATCATGGTACAAATTCATCAGGGTTTATAAATGTTTATAATGTGTTATAATCCCAAATAAAAAACACAGTGTTTATCCACTGCAACTGCACAGCGGAGATATCATGAGATAAAGTTAATGGGAGATTTTGATGGGATATAATCAACCGCAACATCGCAACAGGCTCTGCCTTCTGCCCGAGCTGGGTTTATATCAAGCTTTCCCCACAAAATCTGGGGGCTCTGGGAAGCTGACACATTCTGTAGATTGGCTTGGACAGCTATGGTTCAAAATGGGGTACCCTCTGGTGAACTAACATAGCAATTGAAAATGGCCATTTATAGTGGATTTTCCCATTAAAAATTGTGATGTTCCATTGCTATGTTAGTTCACCAGAGTGTACTAATGGACTCACAATACACTGGTTCTGTTTAATCAAACAATCCCATCGTTTCGGGGTCGTTGAAGATGCAGGGGTAGAATCACCGCGTTTCGTGAAATCTCCACCGGTGCTACATCCCCCCACTTTTGCTGGTTTCTCAGGGGAACATTCGTATATATATATACATATATATATATGTATACATATAAACAACAAAAAAGCAACAAATCGTGTTTGCACCCATGGAAACCATCCAGTGGTTCTTCAGTTTGGTGGACAGTGGACCCTGCAAACTTGTCGTTCACTGAGTTCCCAACACCTTGCCCACCGCCTCGGCACCCAAACGCTGGGGCTGCATGTCATGTTTCGTTACATCCCTAGTTTCATCAAGTATCTATACCGTATATACCCCCGTATCATCCCGTATCCGGCTATCTGTTGGTGATATTCGCGTCTTAGTCCTTTCACATCACATGCCTACCATCCGGGCCTTTGCTTGAATGGTCTTCCGTGCCATTCTGTCGCGAATCTCTCGCATTTCGCGCACCTTCCACAAAAATAAGCATGCACGAAGCATGCTTTGGCATAGGTGAAGAGTAATCCCATCCTTCTAATATCAAACACCCGCATGGTCCCAATTATGTGGAAATCCCCTACTAAACCATGGTTTCCAACAAGGTGTTTAACATTATGGGGGTTGGATTTCATATATATGTATATGTATATCTATCTATCTATCTATCTATCTAATCTAATCTAACCTAATCTAATCTAACCTAATCTTATCTTATCTTATCTTATCTTATCTTACTATCTATCTAATCTATCTATCTATCTATCTAATCTAATCTAATCTAATCTAATCTAATCTATCAATCTATCTAATCTATATATATATATGTGTATATATATATATATGCAGGGGGTAATAAGCTTCATGTTTGGTGGTTCTGTAGAAAATGTTCAAGATCTGTGGCATTTTTCAAGTCTTCACCAACTTCACCAGCCTTCTCTGGCATCAGGAGCCTAACAAAAAGGCGTTGTGGATCCCATGGGCATTTCATGGGATTCAACCAGCAAACATGTGGAGTTCATGTTTTTTTTACCAACAAAAATGGTGATTTTCTATGGATTTCCGGGGATTTGATATGATCGAAGCATCACATCCCAAGAATTCTCCGCCAGCATTGGGGATGCGTATCGTGGCATTGGCGCTTTGCGCCGGAGTCAAATTTTTGCTACCCCAAAGTAGTGGAAGTAGTCAAATTTTTGGTACCCCTAATTTTTGGTATCCCTAAGTGGATAATTACAAACGATGATAAACGACCACCTGTGGTTTCCTGGCTCAGTGTTGAAGACCCAAATCTGACCACGTTCTGTGTCACCAACTCGCCATGTTCACCATGGGATCTCAGTGTTCAAAATAACAACGGGATAGACCAGTTCGATGGATAAACATGTCTTGGTTTCAAAAAACACTTACCCTTTGGTAAACTAACATAGCTAATGAAAATTGCCCATTTATAGTGGATTTACCCGTTAAAAATGGTGATTTTCCATAGTTATGTTAAACATTACCAGAGGGTATGAGAAAGCTCCCGGGACCCCAGAACGTGGCACTGAAGTTGAGCCCCGCGCGCCAGTTCCTTATGTTCCTGAGCGATCCAGGCACGATCCACCAGTTTCTTTGGTTCAACGGGCCAGAAACAGACACACCAATAGCTGGATGCTTCGTTTAGAATGGAAAATCCCATCGAAAAATTCGGATGCTTTGGGGCTACCCGCATTTTAGGAACCCCACATATAATATACATATATATATATACATACTATACACATATTCATCCACATCCATATTTTTACATATATATATATCTTCCCTATAAGACTATATTCCCATCATATCCATATTAACGTTGATGTGGATAATTCTGATTGCTAATCAACTTATCTACACTCCCATCATATCAGTCTATATCTACATTCCATATGTGGAGGTTTCCTAAAATAGGGCTACCCCCAGTCATCATCATCCATGAAACAAACCATCCAGCTATGGGGTACCTCCATTTATGGAAACCTCCAAATATAAATCGTTGTAAATCAATCTATAACCATATTCATATAGATCAGTTGATTTACAAAAATCTGAAGCCATAAATGTGTCATAAATATCGATTTGCCAGTTTGTTGTACACCCATAGATTCCCATCAACAAATAGATGTTCATCCCACTAAAACTTTGGAACCATCATAAATCCATATAGATATATAATTATATATATTTATATACATAACCCACATATAACTATATGAGTCCATATCTCCTCATATCCCCATCATATCCATATAAATGTTGATGCTTAGCTCCACATCTTCGCCACAGTCCTCGCCTTCTCAAGCCTCACGCAGGCCGTGGAGGCACGACGCATGGGCGGCTCTGGCAGCTCCTTGGAAGGCGAAGGTTTCTGTGTTTTGGAGGTGGATTTAGTGGATTTATAGGGATTTATAGGGATTAATAGCCATGTTTATAGTGGATTATAGCCATGATGAAAGGTTTTTGAGGTGGATTTATAGGGAATATTCACCAGCAAATTAATATCAAACATCCCTTATGTTTCTGGGGAAGCCAATGGGTTTTGTGATGGAAATCCCCAATGATGATGACATCTGTCGAGAATGGACAATAGTGGGGGTATAACATGGTATAAGCAACAACAATGAATGAATATAATTAAAATTGGAACGACCCTGGTTCTGTTGAAACTTCCATTGTGGTACCAAGTCACTCTCCCGAATGGCTGGGATTGAAATTGGGTGAACCACTTGGATCATGGCTTTGTTCATAATATGCTAGCACTCGCCACATCAAGGAATTCGAGTCCACTAACTATCATTCATCCAGTTGGTTATAAAGTTATAACAGATGGTAACAGAAATAAGATCACAAATGGTTCATAAAGTTATAACAAATGGTAAATTCTGTTATAACTTTGGAATTGTAAGATTACGCGCAAACACCCCGTATCGCCCACACCCCTTCTATGCTGTACACTTGGGGATATCAAACGTTAGACTTTACATTCAATTGGGAAGATCAACAAGGGTATTAAGGGAATATAAATTTCCCACCCCCGTTAAACTTCTACATTCATTGAAGATCTTCAATAAGGGTTTTATTCTCCCACCCCCGTTAAACTTCTACATTCATTGAAGATCTTCAATACGGGTTTAATTTTCCAACCCCGTTAAACTTCTACATTCATTGAAGATCTTCAATGATGATGATGATGATGATGACGATAATGACGATGATGACGATGATGACGATGATGACGATGATGATGATGATGATGATGTGTAAGAGACTCGCACAGGTCCCTATGCTGTGCGTGCCGATATACAACATGAAGTTAGCCATGATGCAAAAAAAACTCCCATGTTTACCACGTTTTCAGCACATACGAAGATGGCCGCCGACAAGCGCGGGCAAAACGAGGTGTTTGCCCGTAAGATTATTGTAAGTGCATATCAATCGATAAAGTCGAATGTCGAATATTGGAAAATCCCATGCCCCGATCAGATGAAATTCCCTCCTTTCAGAAGGGTCCCCAAAATGACGACTAGTCCAGTACTGAACATATCAGGGTTTTGTTTGGGGGTAAACCCAATCACCCAGAAGTTGATGTGTTTTATCATACATATATATATACATATATATATATATACCCCACTTTTGAGGTTCCGCCCACTGATCTCGCATATCTGTGATAATGAGGTAAACCCAATAAAAACCCTTCCCCAAGTGGGGTTTCTTGTGAGAATACCCCCACTTAGTATAGTGTTAAATGATCCTCAAATGATAATTGGGGATGGTTTATCAAAAAAATGTGCTTTGCCACATTCCCATAAAAAAAGGGATTTGGTTTATTATAATCCCCAGTCATAGTTGTTTACTGGATGTTATAGGGGGAATTCTTCACGGCATTAGCGAAACCCCCCGAGGTCTGCACGTCGGGAAGGCCCTGGCGGACCGCTGTTTCGGAGCGCCTTGCGGAGCGCTGTTGGCCAAGTCCCCCCGGGGGTTCATGTTGACCCGGGATTGATCAAGCCCGGGGGCCCAGGTCCTTATGAACACGGAGAACACGCTGGGTCCCAATTTTAGATCCTTTGCCATGATTTTTCGGGATTCCTTTATTAAAAAACTGGGTCTTTATCAATCCAGGGCTTGGCATTGACGCCTTAGTTGGTGGTAAGTAAAGGATATCCAACCCCACGGGATTGAGAAATCAGCAATTAGCCCTAAGTAGCAACAATAAAAGGGGATCACGGGGGTGTCCCTAGTAGAACTATGGAATACAAGATTCATAATATGTAATATCTGTGGAGTTCATGTAACGTCATGTAATGTAATGGCTATGCTCTGTTATGATATGGTATGTATCATGTACAATACGTATCCATGACAGGATCACCATCCCCTCCTGTGGGTATGTAACCATCCCCAACAAACACGTCTTAACGGCTGCTTCACAGCGGCTGGTCTAACCCCGACAGCAACGGGCCTCGCAACTTCCAAGGTCGGCAAGCTGCTTCGACGCGCTTGCGGTTTGCCCTGGGGCTAGACCCCCAAACATCTACCATTTCATCTCGTTGATGGGTTGAAACCCATGCCAAAAGATGGGTTTCCATCCTCCCAACAATGAGCCTGAGAATCACCAAATGTTAAAGGAAGGTTTGTCTTCCAACCCCCAAACTCATAGCAGTTTCTATGTGGGGAATGGTAGTTGGAAACATCATAATATCTCAGCAGGACGGAATGGAAGATTCTGTGGCCCCAGTAAGAAGAGGACGATCAACGCAAAACATGGGTCTAGCGATAGCAGGGTCAGGATGAACGGGAAAAAGGTGACAAGGTGAGTGGATGGTTGCGAAATCCTGAACCAGTTGGTAGATGGTTTATCCCATTATAATCCCATTATTTACAGCGTTCCATAGTTACCTAATAGTTACCAACTTGCGCTCCATCCACAGTATGGTGGAACATGAGTGGACACATAGGTATCGATCGAAAACTGGGTCGCTGACAATGCGATGTTTGGTTGCTAACAATTCGGTGTTTTGCCCTCAGAGATTGCAATAACAACCCATAGTTCCCAAGGTCCTAAAGTTTAGCCCATATCCTCTGGTAGTTCCACATAGCCAAGCTATCACCATTTTTCATGGTAGGGTAAATCGGGTAAATCATCGAACTACAGGCCATCATGTTCCATAGCAAACTGTCCCACTGTAGCCATTATATATATATATATATGTATGTATATATATATATATACATAATCTATCCCCATAAGTTTCTCGATGATAGATTGTTAAATCCCCATGATTTTCAGAGGGTACCCCTCTATCTTCGCCTCAAAAAGAAACGGAAAACACAACGGCGCCTCTGTCACAGCTCTTTCCAAGCCCAAGCTCCTGCCTGAAATCCGCAACGCGCAAGGCTATACATTGGCAGGCTCTTGTCCATGGAGAATACCCGGCCGTTGTGGCCACTAAACAATGGGAATTCCATACACTGATTGGGGATTCTCCATGGAATTCCCATTGTTTAGTGGATTGAAAAAAAGATATCTGAGACTTTGGGGATACTTTCTTTTCAGGCAAACCATGGTAAATCCATACACCTGCATTTGTTGGACACTTGACCCACACCACTTGGATGTTCCCGTTGTAATATGATTTCCACGTGGGAATGGGTACTAAACTAGTTGCTTAGTGTATGACCATTATGAATAAGCCTATATGGTGGTACATTCGGATGAGATTGTTACTGGTAGGGTCATCCAAGTGTTGAAATGCTTAAAGCCGTCCTGCCAAATCAATTGCCATACGGAGACGTCTGCTGTTTCGATCCCAAGAGGAATCAGGGAATCAGGATGAACTCGGCCAAAACAAAAAGCCACAACTACCCCATTCACCCAAGTTTGCCATTTGGGGGTCAAAAGAATGGTCGTTGTTTTTTTTTCTACACACCAAAAAAAAACAATGAATATGTGATTGAGTTTACCACATGACTCGGGTTGCTGAAAAAAAAAAACATTGGGTGTCCCGGACAGGAAGGAGGAGATGCTGCTGCAATCTCGCTGACAGCACTGGCCACAGTGAGTCCCGAGGCTCCTGAGTCACCTGAGACAGCAAAAAATCACTGGGTCCAACTGAGTTTCTCTGGTTTTCCATGGTTTTCACTATTGAAATTGCCTGGGGTATACCGAGATTCCTACAGGACCAACACCATATGCAAATTTCACTACCCAAACAAAACTGCCAACAATTTTAAGTGCGTTTTGTTATGTTGTTCGCAAGAATTGGTCATGGAACCAAGAAAATGGAGATTGAACATGATTGAGCCACAAGAAAAATATGGAGACTGCCGTCCGGCCAATGATTTTTTCTGCATTGACTGTCAGCCAAAAACTCAATGCAACAGGGATGAGGTTCCGAGGCACCTCCATCGGAGGAAGCATCCTGGCAGTTCATCCGTACACATCTCTATCGATCGATCGACCCACCTACCTGGCTGTCTATCCAATCTTATCTTATCGAATCGAATTGAATCAAATTGAATCAAATTGAATCGAATACTATCCTATCCCATCCATCAATCCATCCATCTATTCTATCTAATCTATCTAATCTATTTAATCTATCTAATCTAATATGTCGTTCTATCTATCTACCTCTTTCTCTTTCTATCGTTCTATGTATCTACCTATCTATCTACCTATCAATCGATGTATCTCTCTATCCAGCCATCCGTGCATCTATGTACCATGTGTCTATTATGTGTATACACAGTCATATATCCATTCAGGATTATATATGTGTGTATGTAGGTAACATATAATATGATATTAACATGTCCCCCATTCGTGGCTGTATGGGCCACCTTTTTTATCTGGTCCCTGTTGCAACATATCGTCGCCTCCGAGAAGCCAAAGATGTTGGACGTCGTCCCATCGTTCTTTATCTCAGTGTGAAAAGTCATTGGGGTTCAACTGGTAACAAACACCGAGTGGACCTCCACGGACCATGGCCAATCTGAGCAACGAACCGAGTGGAACACCGTGGCCATGGCTAAGGCCTCACAGCAGCAAGCTGGGGAGCTAATCTGTTGAACATGGGGATAGAGCAGGCTGTGTTATGGTGATGTGACCAGCCAAAATGATGATTCAAAGAGATTTAATGGGATCGAATGGGGATATAGCCGGGATTTCTTTGCCAACACTATGAGTCTTTTGGGTGTATCTGAAAATGTTGCATACCCCGGGACTTCGGGGCATCTTAGTTTCAGACAAATTCGTGTGAGTCAAAACCTTGTACCCTTCGGTTCATTCAAAAATCATGTATTGAACCATCCCCACATTATGGAAATGGAAATCATGATATCCCCTGTGTCATAAAAACTAGAGATTGATTGCACCAGAAAGAAATGATAATCTGATAAACATTCTGATGACATTTCCTAGTTTTGATGGGTCCATGTGAGTTTGTTGAGGGTGCATGGGGAAAATAATGATCTTTCTGTTTGGGCAATTACATGTCCCGTAGAAAATGCGTAAACATGGTGGAACACAGAACAGAAAGTACGGTAGTTGGTTGATCCCCTCATGGATCCCTGCTTCACATCATTGGGGCTTGGGGCATGTTCGGTCGCCTTTAAGAAATCACCCTAAAAAAGTGACAAAATCGTGCCGCTTCCGCCGATCCAAAGCAGCTTCAGGACACATCCATCTTGCTTACTCTCCACTCATATTCTACCAATATACCATTCATAAATATATATATATATGGTCCAGCGTTCCGACCCCCCTCCCCCCCAGCCGGAGCCATGGTCCTGTCCCCCTCCCCCCCTGTGGTATGGTGGGGGTGTGGTACTGCCTGTATATATATATATATGTATGTATGTATATATATATATGTATGTATGTATGTATGTGTGTATGTATGTATGTATGTATGTATGTATGTATGTATGTATGTATATATACTTATATATACATGTTTATATATTTATATATATATATATATATACATGTTTATATATTTATATATATATACATCTATATATATATGTATATACATATATATATACATATATATATATACATTTGAGTACATAGGAGGTAGATACATAGCACATGTAATTATATACGACTATAGGTAGCACGTAGGTACTTTGAGGGAGTATGTGCGCTACGTAGGTCGCCCAAAAGGTAGCATGTACCTAGTAAATACGAGGCTGGACCTCAGAAATGCTGCCAATAGCTTGCAAATAGAAGGGAAGGGGGTGCTACCTGGGGACCCATACCATGGGGGGGGTAGGAACACGGAACACGAGACCATATATATATATATATACATATATTCAGATTGCGCTTTTAAATCCCCAGTATATGGAGGTTTCCTAAAATGGGGTGGTACCCCCAAATCATCCCAAACTTAGACCATTTTAGTGAAAGCCATGGCAGCCATGGTGACTTGGTTCCCCATGACTTAAGAAACCCTCCCATTCTACAAGGTGGGTGCCCCCCAAGTCATAAGTTGGTTTGTAATCCCATTAACTATAGTTATAAGTACCATAAACCATAGTTATTAGAGTTATAAAACCAACTTAGCTATCTTGGGGGCACCTCCTTGTATCACCATTTATTGAGGGTTTTTGCGATGCTGAGGTCTCTCACCATGGAGCGACGTGTGTTGGGGCCCGGATCCTGACGCTATCCGCTATCCAGCTGTGCTTGGGGATGGGACTGTTGGAAAACGTGACTTGGTGCTACAGCTGCTACACGGAAAGCCATAATTTTCATAACATGTCAATGATCATTGACTTGGTGCTACATGATTTTTATAATTGAAAAATCACGAAAAGCAGATGATAGGTTTTTTTGATTATCTATATATATAATGTATTTCATAAAGTCATAAAGCATTGTGTTACATACCTTCATGGACTTGGAGAAAGTTTAACCTTTGGAAATCAAATCTGGTAATGGAAACGTCCGGGTTGGTGTAGAATCATAATTGACCCAAAGGGGGAAGTCTTTCCAACCATCTTTGATTCTTATCATATAAGTCAATTCTTAGTTGGACCCTTTTGTTACCCTGGATAGTTGGCTTTTTTCCCTCACCCATTCACAAAAAAAACTTCTTTATGATGTGTTCATTCCATAATTTTGGGGGAATTCCCAGCCAACAAAATGGGGATGGGTCAATACCTATAGATACATTTTTAGTGGGATGAACATCCATTTACCAGCTATTTTGGGGTTCACTAGGTACCAGGGTTTTGACCCATCCCCAAATGACAGTCCGTCCCTCCACCTTCGCTTGTTGAATCTGCAGCTCTTTTCGCTTCCTGAATCCCCATCGGATCATTGGGGTCGGTGACATGGCTTTCATGGGTCATTAAATGTCCCCATGGGTCACATCACCCAACCTTTAGGTATATGGTCAATGCCATGGCTACTTTTTTAGGTGATGTCCAATAGATCCAAAATGGGACAGTTACCAACCCCTGGCTTTTGACCACAAAAAACTAGACTAGAAGCAGTGGATGTCAAGCATTGAACATCTGGATCCCTCTAAAATCGGCTGTCAAGCCCAAAATTAGCTACATACTGACAGCCCCCAAGATCCATAGACTATCCTTTCTCTCTACCCGTTCTAATCAAGTTCTTGGCTGCTGAGCCTCATGAAATCCACCAAGGTCTTAGAAGTCCACTGAATGGAACCTCTTCCGAGGCGCTCATTGGTCTGGATGGAGATGATGTGACATAAACTGTCGATGTTTCATTGTAGAACTGTTAAATGCTACGCTAGATTCAACCAAAACATCAATAATCTATGAGATAGGCAGAATGGACAACAATCAGAGGGACAGATCAACGACAAAAAGTGTGCGTGTGTGTGTCTTTTTTGTGTACTTAGGCCATAGAATTCCCGAGTTGACGGCCTGGAATGGTCCCAAACTGTCCCAAATACCCTCTGGTAATTTAACATAGCTATAGAAAATGGCCCATTTAGTTCGTTGATTTACCTACGAAACATTGGTGGATTTTCCATAGCAAACTGTTAGTTTACCAGAGGGTAAAATCCCATTAGATCCCATTAAACCACCATAAAATCCAGAAAAATCCCATGTCAACCAGAGGGTTTCTGTGTAAATCATTGTAACTCCCCATTAAACCACCATGGTGGCTGTTCCCAAAACACCACCTCGTCGGTCCGTGCCGAACCTTGGTGGTGCGGAGATGTTTCGCTGGAAAATGGAAGATGGGAAAATGTCCCATTCTTACTAAGAAACCATTGGAAATATTTGGGAATATATGGGAACATCTTGGGAACATCTTGGGAACATATTGGGAACATATGGAAAACAACTGAAAAAAAATGAAAAAGAAGTGGATTCAGATGGAAGATAGTTGATCAAGACAGCTTGGAAAGGGTACCAACCGGGATGGAGGATACAATTTACATCTTTACCCTCTGACAACTTAACGTGGCCTGCTGGAAAAGCCACAACTCTTGAAAACAGGTCAATCATCAATCCTTACCTGTGTGATTTTTGCAGCCGCCTGTCCCTTAAATAAAAAGCGCTCCGCGATGAAGATGATGAAGGTTGTACCATCCCAACTAACATCGACCAAGAGGAAGGAATTGTCAGACCACCAAGCCATCAAACTCATGGTGGATGACTTCAACGTCCTCTGGTCATTGCCTCTCTCAGGATTCCCCGCTCAATGGCGCGTTCAGAAATCTCTCGGAATTGCGATACGGCCTTTTTGCATGACAGGTCTCGCATCACGCTTGAAAGATCGGTCGACAAGGCAGGTTCTGATAGATTCTGGTAGATGTTCCCTTCAACCAATTCTGAAGGGCCACGCTGGTCGCAACGAATGTTCAAAAAAGGGGAAGACGCTTGACCGCATATTGCAACACTGCTGTGCTCACATGGGGTTGCCTCAAAATCTGGATCATGATTTTCCCACAGTTCAAGATTGCAAAAAAAAAAACGGGAATACCTTTCATGTTCGGACAAAACATATTGCTATAGTTTGACAACAGTAGCTCAGGAATTTTTGGATCATTAAGATCTTAAGTTGGACACACCCAACCAAGATCTGCTTCCTCCAGTGCCTCATCAGTCTCATCCTCATCCAAAGGGTCGTCCAAGACCGCTCTGTCAATTGTGATCCTGTCTAGGAAAGGGGACTGGAAAGGGAACTATATAATCCCTTCCTCCTATCGATAAACACCCAGCAATGTGGGATATACATCTTATGTATATATAATATATATATACATACATATAAATGTATGTACAGTAATGTAAGGTGATGTCATGTCATGTGATGTCAAGTCATGTGATGTTATGTCATGTCATGCGATGTCGTGTCGTGTCGTGTCCTGTCGTGTCGTGCCGTGCCGTTGCCGTGCCGTGCCGTGTCGTGCCGTGCCGTGTCGTGTCGTATTGTGTCGTGTCGTGTCGTGTCGTGTCATGTCGTGTCGTGTCGTGTCGTGTCGTGTCGTGTCGTGTCGTGTCGTGTCGTGTCGTGTCGTGTCGTGTATGTATGGGTGGTTTTAAAAAAAAAAACAGGAATACAAATGATGGATTTGGTTATTGCTTTTTTACTATAAATGGGATATACAATGATATACAGTCTATATATATATATGTGTATGTGTGCGTGTATGGGTGGCGCGTGGTATAAACCAGCCATCCCCAATTGCAGGCTTATCGTATTCTTGGTAAACCACCACATTAGAAAACACAAGCCCCAAGGCTCCTGGGTTTTCGCTTCCAAGGATTGTTCCTGGTGCAGGGGTGCCGTAGGTCCTTTCAACTGCGGTGCTTCAGTATGCTTACCCTCTGGTAAACTAACATAGCTATGGAAAATTGAAAAAACTAACATAGCTATGGAAAATTGAACATTGCCTATTTATAGTTGATCTACCTATTAAGATGTTGATTTTCCATAGCTATGTTACTTTACCAAAAGGGTAAATCCACTGGTTTTCTGGTTGAATATGGTCTAACAATTGTTGACCCGATGTTAATCCCCAGTTTCTGCTGGTTATACCGCCCAGTTTCCAGCATAGCTTTGGAGGTGTCCAACTCCAAGAATAGGATGATTTTCGAAAATTCACACAAAAAAAAAACATGGCAGAGACAATCCAATTGATAACATATATACAATATATATATATAATTATATAGTTAATTGCTATGTTCAAAAAAAAAAAAAAAAATCCTGAAATACACCAACAATAATCTTTGGTGGATTTTCCCGGTTTTCTCCTGCCTTTTGTGGATCCATTGTTCAATGGTCAAAGGTTGACACAACTGGGATCCTCTCTTTAAAAGCTTGTCTATCTTTCTGGGGACCCCTATCTTATATCACATTTTTTACTGGTTATAATATATCCCACATAAATTCTTAGTTTCCCCAATACCTTTGCTGTTTATAGATCTAAAATGATCTAAATCCCATTTGGTGAATGTAATAACCTCAGTTGATCTTCATTCATTGGGGTTGAGCATAAATAACCTCAATAGATCCTGGTTATATGTTAGCAAAAATGTTGACCCCAAGTTCATTCATTGTTGAAGATATATGTTCTCAATATATCCTGGGATTAGATCACCATTAAACCCCGTTACCCTCTGGTAAACATTTACATAACTATGGAAAATCCACCCATTTTTCATAGGAAAACTCACGAAATCAATGGCCATGTTCAATAGCCATTTTTCAATAACTCACCAGGTAAACTGTTAGTTTACCAGAGGCTAATGTTGCTTCTCCATGGTTATCCGTTGAAATAGATCACCATTAAACCCCCGTTACCCTCTGATAATTTAACATAGCTATGGAAAATCCACCCATTTTTCATGGGAAAATCCACTATAAATCACCATTTTCAATAGCTTTTTGTATGTTTACCAGAGGGTAAATCTACTTGAGAGCAGGCGGAGGCGGACGAAAGGTAGTGTAGTGGGAGAGGAGTGGTGTCAAAATGCTGCGCCCCTAAGATGATACACCAAAAACGTTTTTGCGCAGTCTAAGATGATTTTATCCAGAGCATGACTGCATGATACGGTGTCTTGTGCAGCGTGAAATGATGCACGAAAAGGGGTTTATTTAAAACCCCTTTTTAAGACCCCTTGCAGCAACTGTTATTGAGGCTGAAGCATACCAATTATGCTGGACTACAGGGACATCTCCCTCATGGAAAGTGTGCCTCTAATGTGGGGGCCCGTGACCGCGTCACCCGTGGGAATTGAACCCATGACCATTTTCGGGGGGGGGGGGCCCCCCTTATAATTGATATCCAATACATAACGGCGAGAATTCCATGAATTCCGTGGGCTGGCCCCCCAATACCCCCTAAGCTTGTGCTGAAGCACGGAGAACTCAGGTAGCTGACGCTACCTTTCGTGATTATATATTCAAAATATCCCATTTAACCCCATTAAATCCCATTAAATCCAATGTATAACCAGAGGGTCAACATCATCAACTCCCCATGGTCACCGCTTCCACCGCTTCCACCGGTACCTGTGATTTGCATCCAGCCCCGGTGCAGGCCGCTCGCGTAGATTCACCGCCGCGCGCACGCGAGCTGGGCAGATGTCGCAGGGATTTCACCATGAAAAATGTGGAGTTCATGATTTTTAGATAAGGAATTCACTACTAATTCGTATGGAAAAAGGTATGTGTTGTTTTTTTCGGGTTTTTCACCAATGAAATGTAGTCATTTATTGGGATTTAACTATGAAACATGATGTTTCTTTGTGATTTAATGATAAACAAACTGAGATTTCACCAACAAACACTTGGGATGTCCATATGAAAAAACAATGATTTGACCATCAACCATTGAGGATGGCATGGGATATTGGCATGACTTCACCAGCAAAATACACCAAGAAACACATGCCAAAATATCATGGGATATTATGTATTCCAGTATAGTGTGTTTCTTGGTGTATTTGAGAATAGGATGTACTGCATTGTTTAGCATAATTTGTTCATGGCTATGTAAAGATTAACCATGGCATTTGAAGGTTCCCAAAATATGGACACCTAGGGGACCCACCACATATCATCAAAATTTGATCATGTAAAAAATTGGTAGAGCAGTGGTCCGGTGCCCAAATTTTCAGCAACACTCATCTGAAGGGTTGTCACAGAATATGGAACGCCGAAAGAAATGTGTTCTCATCCTCATACTTTACCCTTCTAAATTTATATGCAGAATATTGCTACTCTAGGGTATCCCCTGTTTTCAGACAGAGCCAGAAAGGTTTTATATTCCTCTTTGGACCTTGAAGTGTTGAAACTCTAGAAGAGTTATTTATACCAAGCAACATCAATCAAGTGTCCTGGTGAATGGATCTGTTGCCAAAACAGGCAGGGTGCTGCTCCCCCTATTTCGATCCAGCCAACAGACTTTCTTGCATCCGGCCAGTCAATGCAAAAACTAGATCTGTTTTGGTTTTTCTCAAACAAATTCCAGGCTGCCACGGTGAGCGTTCTCAAGAATTCTCATATCATGCACCATCACTATCATGTGGTTGGGAACCTCGAATAATTGTAGCTCCAACTGCCTCCCCATTTCACAGAAAATACGAATCGCCGAATAGCCCTAGCTCTGCCTTGCCCCCTCCTAACCACTCACCTCCAACTCTGAGGTGCCACACCAGTCAAAACATTGTCTGGACCACGTCGGTTCCTCGGAAGAAGTGCCAATCAAAAGATCTTGATCCTTGAAGCATTCTTAAAGCTATTGAAGATACCCTCTGGTAATTTAACGTAGCTATTGAAAATGGCCATTTATAGTGAATTTTCCCATTAAAAATGACCATTTTCAATAGGTTAAATTACCAGAGGGTAGCTGCTATTGAAGTGACCTTCATTTTGACTAGGTTTGAGTCTCAGGATCAACATGGCACTCAGAAATTTGCCGTGGTTTGCTGGCAAGTACAAACACCCAAATCGGTTCTTGTGAAATGTCAACCCAGGATGAACAAACCCCCAGTCTATTCGTGATTCGTTACCATCATTCCAATTATATTATAAATGGGACTCGGTGCTAAATTGGAGGGGGTAGTAATCCTGGGTTGACATTGCAGTTTGCAAGTAATACCTACCAGCCATGACCAAGTCATGAAGGTGAAAAACATAGCTGGAGAAACCGTTGAAATGCCATGGCGAGCACAACTGGCTGGAAATGCGGCTGGAATTTAATGGCTCAGAGTCATTTTGACTGCGATCTTTTGAAGAGCTTGATGATGTTGTTGCAAACAACGACAACAACAAAAAAAAAGGCACCAGCTACCGGCCCCATCCCTGCCTGCAGCAAATGTGTAAGGCTTCCAGCAGATGGCTGTAATTGTGTTTCCAATGCCTCAGCCCAGTGATTTGATGGGGTCAATCCCAAGACATGCCCAAATTGAAATATATCCAAGTAGAATTATATATTTATAATTTATAATATACCCCAATTATATCCATTTTCAATTGTCAATTGATACAAATACTGAATTGCTATTCGCATCCCAACATTGCCCAACGAATGGACCATTTTGATCATACTTGGATCTCAGGGTACAAGACTTTTGATCCAACAATGTCAAAAGGCTGACTGAAAATTGCGATCCAAAAAAGGTGGTGTTGGCCAGTGGTAAGGATATCCCTTGGGCACCATTTGGAGTGAGCTGATTTCTGGGATTTCCTAACTCATGCTACCCCAATAGCTGGATTCTTTATTTCATTGAAAATCCGAAAATAAAATTGATGATCTGGGGATACCCTCATTTTAGGATACCTCCATGTATATATATATATATACGTATAGTCATATAGTAGTATAGGCAAATCATCTGCTTTCATGGGTCATGATCCACATCTATGTTTACAGGATGCTAATTTCACCAATTAAAAAAAAGAAAGTGGAAAGTGATACAAGGACCCCATGAATCAATCCACGTTCACCAGTTCCCAAGCCCTTGAGACCTAAGTGCTTCACTTCAAGCAGTTGGCCACTGCATCAATGGGCTGCTGGACATTGGAGGAGCAGCCTCGGCAGCTTGGTCGCAGCCCAACATCGAGGACGACGGGACTTCAACTTCAGGGAACCATATCCCGCTACTTCGTTTTTGTGACTTCCCCCAGTCTAGTACCCTCTGGTAATTTAACGTAACTATTGAAAATGACCATTTATAGTGGATTTTCTCATTAAAAATTGTGATTTTCCATAGTTATGTTAGTTTACCAGAGGGTAACAGGTCCCAAAAAATGGTTGACTGACACCCATCCCCATCCCCTTCCATTGTCTCCTTCCCTCGCCTGGCATTGGCATCACCACCATAGCCTTGTGATCTGGGCTGGCCTGAAGCGTAGGTTACCACGCTTGAAAAACCACCATAAACTGGGATACCCGTTGGTAATCAAGCGTGGCTAGCTGGAAAATCCCCGAACGAAAGGAAGATCATCAATAAATGGGTGATTGTCCAGCAAGCCATGCTGGATTACCGGAGGGTAATACTCCTTCTACTATGTAGCGAAACTGAGTCATAACACTTGTCAGGGAAACAACTACCAATCAGATTTTAAAAAATAGAAGTACAAATTAGACAAAATGAGAGGAGAACACAAATCATGCAACATGAATCGTGACAAGAAACCACGCAAAAGAAACCTATCAAAGTCAAAGACATCTGTGTCATACTCAGAATATTGTTCTCCTTGCTTATGATATTCCCCGAAAGAAAACAAGACTATGGTATATGAATCAAACATTATATTATATATACACATTATATATATATATATATATATGTGCTATCACATATTATATATACATTATATATACATCATATGTATTATATATGATAGTATATTATATTACATTGAAATTGCAATTAAAATCAATGTAATCAATATGATATTATATTATATTATATTGTATTATGTTATATTATGTTATATTATATTATATTATTATATTATATATCATATCATATTATATCATATCATATCATATAATATTAAAATATATAATTATTGATTTGATTTGATTTGATTTTATTATATTAGATTACATTACATTATTTTATTGTATATATATATATATTGATATTGCATATATACCCTTTGGCAATTTGTCGCATATCTATGGAAGCCATGGCCCTCAGTTTTCACCTTGGACAAATCTTCAATGGCTCGCGCCAGCTGGATGAAGCCTCGGTTCAGATGGGGAAAATCCCGCGGTTCCAATCATTTCCGCAGGACAATGGTCATCAAATGGCAGTGTGTCAAAACCTTGTACCCCTGGTGAACATCAAAATAGCTGGTAAATGGATGTTCATTCCCCTAAAAATGGTATTAATAGGTATTGACCCATCCCCAAATGTCAGAAATTGTGGGCATCTCACCCGCCAAAAAAATCAAAAAAATCGGTGGATTGACCTGGAAAATCTGAGAATCGACAGATGGGATCAAATCTGCAGGTCCGAGGTATATGGACTTCGTCATTTCTGCAGAAGAAACTAGTTAGCCATGTATAGATTGCTACGGACAAAACTGCTTGTGATGTTTCTCCATCAAAACGGCTGGAAGCGAAAAAACAAATCCCCGAAAAGATATTATCAGGTATTCATCACTTGTCACTGTTCTATCTTTTTGCCGGTTGCTATAAAGCTATCATTTACCAAAGTTCGCCAAGGCAAGTCAACATCTCCATCTCGCTGAGCCGGCGCACGTGACACCAGGGCCTGGTATTCGGCCAGCTGCTCGTACCTAGCGCAGTTGGAGGGCTCCAACATCATAGCATTCAACTGGTATATAATAGACATTCCACCAAAGTGAGGATCAAAACAAACTGTTATATACAATTTATATGACACAAAATTTTGGAGAATAAAACACAAAAAAATAAACGAGTTGGCTGACTTCCTACCAACTTTCGGACCTGTATTTTTCCTCCAGTCCCTTTTTTGTACTTGGTGGTTCACCCTTTTTTTTGCCCAGTGGCTTTTTTTTGCCCAGTTCTAAGTGGGACTAACCCCTACAAAAACCCCAGGTTTGTCCGAGAATCAGCCTCAAATCCAACGGATCGAATCATCGAAAACACCATTTCCAAAACGGCCAGAACTGATGGTTTTTGTTGCTTGTTTTGAGACAGACCGTGACAGACCCATAGATCATATTGTCATCGTATGTAGATATATATATATATTAAGTGTGTATATATATATATTTATAATATGTATGTATCATATGTGGATATATATATATAATATGTATCATATATGTATATATATATATACATATATATATATACATATATATATATATACATATATATATATATATATTCTTTGTTATTCCCATGAAATCCCCATCATGTCCACATGTTTCTTGCTGAAATCCCCCGTTTTCTCCATCCCCATTCGAGCCAGGCTCGCCAGTCCACCGGAGGCTTGGTCTGATAGTAGACCTCTGCCGTGGGGGTCAAGTTGTCGCAGGGGGGTAGGTACTGTAGCGCTTTTCTGGAGCTTTTTAGAAGGCAGAAATGGTGGTGCAAAAAATATGGAAAATATGGAAATACATAGAAAATATGAGAAAAATAGGGTGGAACGGATTTTTGGTGGTCCAAGAATTTTTGACGAACATGGTGGAAAAATGATATGCAAAAGTGCCATTGAGCAAGGAGTGTCATTGATCCAAACACGCTGCAAATATTGGTCACTGCGCATGCTGAAAAGAATCGGAACTGGTGCAGGAAAAGACAGTCTGACCAGAGGGTCAAGGGTTTGAACTCTTGATACTCACGGTTGAAAGTCCCCAGACACCCGAATTATCTACCGGCATCCCCCAAACTGTTCTGTCTTGGCAGTGGAAAGCACTCGTTCAGTTTGAAAAACGCACATCCACACTTCAGCTGCAGAACTCCAGATTCTTTCTGGTTTCATCCCATATGTTTGACGGGTTTAAAACATCCGCCTGGCTGATGCAATGGAAACCACTCTTTTGGGGTTCTATACACATTATTTTGCTGGTTCAATCCCACATTCTTGTCTGCTGAGTTTCTAGAACTCTCAATGGTTCAACATAGTTCAACCCAACATTTTGGTGCGTTTTTTACCCATTTCTTTGCGGACATGTTCTTTGGTTCGATCCCTCGTTTGGTTAACGGTTCAAGTCCACATGTTGGCTGGCTAAATACACCCCCCCATGTTGGTCCCGAAAATGAACATGACATAAAGTAAACATGGGGGGATCATTGGGTTGGGAGGGAGGATTGGGTAGAAATGTTTTTTTCGTGTGTGGTTTTTAGCCGCGATGATGTTGATGATCAAACTCCAGATTTCCAGTTTTTTGAGTAATCATCATCCTGAAGATAGAACATGGAATGTTCAAAGATATGTCCATATTAGTGATGATCTATGGAAATTTCCATAAAATGCCAGAGTCTATCTTCTCCAGGATCACATGAAGAACATGAATCATATAAATCCCACTCCCACATCCCTCCGCCTTTTGCAGTGCCGCTCTTTGGTGCGGCACTGCCACCAGTAGCACGGTGACTTGCAGGTTGTCCTCTTCATGGATGGGAAAAGTCCACCTTTTCAAGTGTCAAGTTACCAACCAACCAAAAAATCGGTCCCGGCTGAGATTTTTTTATGCGCTGTCTCTTACATGTTATAACATGGCCCCATCATCCATGTGTTATTTATGGCCACATCATCCTGGTGTTATCTGAAACGGGATCAAGTCACAAGGATCATGGGCCATGTTGGCAACAGGTCAAGTCACTGAGTCTTGGCTCAGTGGAATTATAGATGTTAGCCGGTGAGAAAAGATGTTATTCTGTGTTATAATCCACTTACTCAGGTTCATAAGCCAAACACTTACTTTAATTGTATTATACCGTGTATTACTGTAATCCTTATGATACCAACATTTCCCAATGGTAGACTAACAGTTATTTTTTACCAACATGGCTTGCTTCACTGCGCAGCCAGGAAAGCATCCAGATCCTTCAGAAAGGGATAGCCCTGCTCCGCAGGACCGCGGAAGAGTGTCACCTGCGCCGCGCTTGGCCCAATTTTTTTGGGGGCCCAAATGCAGATCCAAGACTAAACTGTTGTGTTGGTGTTTAACAACTTTTCAGACCTAGGGATATTGATTTAACATGATGAATGGATATCAATGGATTTATGACGATAGTCATGAAAGCGGGCAAACGGACCACAAATCACATGGCGGTCAATTGAAAGACAAGACAACACACATAGAGATGGGAATGCAAAATGTTTGAAACCAGCAGCCAGATTCCTTCTGAACTGATTACTTCGCCTTTGCGAAGGCAATCTCCTACAAAATCTCAATTTTTGAAGGATTCCCATCGAAGAATTTCACACGTCCAAAACTGGCAGAAGGGACCGCCGGTAGACATCGATCCATCCGTGAAAAAAATGTGGATTTGGGGTCACCGTTGACGGAGGGCTGGCCTCATTGAGGCGTACTACGAAAGGACACACCTGCAGGACAACGAAAGGAAAACTCCATCTTTAGTGAGAAAAGATATGGATCTGAAAATAGCATGCTCTAGAATTCTAAAATCGCATGGTTGAGAACAGACTAGCCTAGCAATATCTACATTAACTGCAACTGGATAGCACTGGTTAACCAGCCGCCTGTGAAGCTGGGGTCAGCATCCAAAGGTTGTCGGAGTGGTGATGATGATGATGATGATGATGATCATCATCATCATCATCATCTACAATCCCAATTATGTGTCATATGTATATTCATGATGTACATGTATGTATATGAGTATATATTACATGTAACAAATATATATATATACAGTATATATATATATAGATACATACTGTATATATCTGTGTGTGTGTGTTTCTTATGTCCGTACATATATCATAATGTGTCTTGTCAGTTTGGTGAATGCCAGCTGGGGCAAAGATCTCCATGTTGAGTGAACTTCGAAACCTACGACCATCTTTTCCTACGACCATCCATCGGCTCACCAGTTCTGGGACCCTGGGGGCGATGCTACGCTGCTACATGGCTGGGGGATGCGGAGCTTTGATCCGTGCCCGAATCCGCGGCCTGGTCGGTCATGTAGTCCCTCAATTGGCTCTTTGGCCGATTGTCTTTCTGCGCATGGCTGAACCAGCAATATGGATATACCATGATATACCCTCCAGTCAAACACAGCGATCTGGAAAATCCCCCTAAATGGAGGTTTGTACAATGTGGGGCCCCCCAGTTATGTTAGTTGGTTTAGATTCACCCCATGAATCCTATAGTTATAAGTTCCATAAACCATAGTGACATTGGAGTTATGTGAACCCCAACTCAACGCTATCTTGGGGGCTCCACATTGCTGGCAGTCCTCATCTAACTGGTGGATTTTCCAGCCATGTGACTACGAGAGTGTAATCCAGCAATGGGACCCAATCCGGAGACCCCCCTCAACCCACAGGTTGGCTGTTTCTTCAAAATGCTTGGCCCCACCATGCATTGTTTTCCACATGACAGATGGCTTTCCCATGTCTAGAAACCCTCCACTGAAAATGGCGCTTCTGAACCTTACACTGGTCAGTATGCAAAGCCATGTCGGATCAAGGAATGCCATTCTCAGTTCTGTCCCATGTTTTCCTCTATCGAAAAGGCGGGGAACAACAACAACAACAACAACAACAACAACAACCCATGCACCAACTATGCACCAACCATGCACCTTTGCAGTTTCCCCAGGACATGCAAGTTGGGATGGCTTTTCACACATGGTCCACCCAGTCCTGGTTGTATTGCCGACACCTGGTGAACATTGGACGACAGCCGTCAGTGATGGCTTAAGAAGCCTCAAAGGGATTGGGAAATCATCTATTTATAGATGGAATTGTCCATTATAAACTTATAAACCATCTATTTATGGGGTCTCGATTGACATAAAAACTATAACTGACCATGATGATCCTGAATCGCTCCAGCATAAGATTCATAAGGCTTCTCGGACATAGCGACACATGCATTGATATGCATATTCGCACACCCTTTCACACAGCATGCATGTACGCAGGAGTCTGCCAGCGTGGGAATCTGACTGTGGCCCAATCACCAATCTTTTACTCACCTCACATGGGCTCAATGAGGGCAATCAATTATGATCAGTCATTCAGGAGGCATTCAGGAGGCATTCATGATGCATTGATCATTATCACCATGCCCATGGATTGCGGCCAAATATCAAAAAAAAAACTCAATCACCCTCTGGTTCTGACATTGCAACAGACATATTCCACAGATATATATATATACATTGTTTTCCATGGCCAGGTCCCAGATTCATTTACGAATAAATCGCCAATATTCCCAGGAATAGACTGCTTATTAAGCCATCATGGTTCCAAAATCCATGACTTTGGTTCAACATGGTTTCAAAACAACACATGATCCCAAACGAGGCAATGAAACTGGTTTACCCTCTGGAAATTTGATGATTTGCCTTCTATGTCCACCCCCATTCTCCATGGCAAACACTTGTCATCAATTCCATTTTCACGTTGTCAATGGTGGTATAAACCATGTGAAATCCCTCTCATTGATGATTAAATCCCATTAACAATCCCCATGAAGTTCCCATTTCAATCACCATCAAATCACATTAAATTGCATTAAATCACCATTTGTTGTAGGTTAAATCACCATTAAATCACCATGAAATCACTATTTCAATCCCATCGATCTTGCCACCACAACCCACCCGAAAAAAAATCCGGACATCCGCACGAGCGTTTGATGTGATCCAGGAAACGGCCCAGGTCGCTGCGGAGCAGCCTGAGAACCAGAAATAAACACATCTCTAGATAGATAGATAGGTAGATAGATAGATAGATAGATAGAAAGAAAGAAAGAAAGATAGGATAGATTCGATAGATACGATAGATTCGATAGATTAGATAGATTAGATAGATTAGATAGATTAGATAGATTAGATAGATTAGATAGATTAGATAGATTAGATAGATTA